TTAGAATAGCTTCGAAAGAATAGGTATTAACTCTTCCTTGAATGTTTGGTAGAATTCCCCTGGGAAGTCATCCAGCCCTGGACTCTTGTTTGTTGGGAGATTTTTAATTACTGATTCAGTTAGTTTACTGATTATGGGTCTGTTCAAATTTTCTTTAAATTTTTTTTAATGTTTATTTATTTTTGAGAGAAAGAGAGATAGAGAGGGAGACAGAGGATCTGAAGCAGGCTCTGTGCTGACAGCAGACAGCCTGATGCTGGGCTCGAACTCACAAACCATGAGATCATGACAGGTGCCAAAGTTAGGCGCTTAACTGACTGAGTCACCTAAGTGCCCCCTCAAATTTTCTACTTCTTCCTGTTTCAGTTTTGGTAGTTTGTGTTTCTAGGAATATGTCCATTTCTTCCATATTGACAATTTGTTGGCATATTAATTGCTCATAATGTTCTTTTTTATTGTTTGTATTTCTACAGTGTTGATTGTAATCTTTCCTCTTTCATTCATTATTTGGGTCCTTTTTCTTTTTGATAAATCTGGCTAGAGGTTTATCAATTCTGTTAATTTTTTCAAGGAAACAGCTCCTAGTTTTGTTGATCTGTTCTATTGTTTTTTCGATTTCCATATCATTGATTTCTGCTCTAATCTTTATTATTTCCCTTCTTCTGCTGGTTTTGGGCTTCATTTGCTATTTTTTCCCAGATCTTTCAGTTGTGTGGCTAGGTTGTGTTTTTGAGACCTTTCTTCCTTCTTTTTTTTTTTTTTTTTTAAATTTTTTTTTCAACGTTTTTTATTTATTTTTGGGACAGAGAGAGACAGAGCATGAACGGGGGAGGGGCAGAGAGAGAGGGAGACACAGAATCGGAAACAGGCTCCAGGCTCCGAGCCATCAGCCCAGAGCCTGACGCGGGGCTCGAACTCACAGACCGCGAGATCGTGACCTGGCTGAAGTCGGACGCTTAACCGACTGCGCCACCCAGGCGCCCCCTTTCTTTCTTCTTTAGGAAGGCCTGGATTGCTATGTACTTCCTCCTTAGACTGCCTTTGCTGCTTCCAGAGGTTTTGGACTGTTGTGTTTTCGTTTTCATTGGCTTCCATATACTTTTTAATTTCCTTTTTAATTTCTTGGTTAAGCCATTCATTCTTTAGTAGGATGTTCTTTAACCTCCAAGAATTTGTGGTCTTTCCAAATTTTTTCTTGTGATTGATTTCAAGTTTCATAGTTTTGTGGTCTGAAAATATGCATGATATGATATTGATCTTTCTGTACTTGTTGAGGGCTGATTTGTGACCTAGTATGTGATCTATTCTGATCTATTCTGGAGAGTATTCCATGTGTACTGGGAAGAATGTGAATTCTACTTTAGGATGAAATGTTCTGAATATATCTATTAAGTCCATCAGGTGCAGTGTGTCATTAAAAGCCATTGTTTCCTTGTTGATTTTCTGCTTAGATGATCTGTCCATTGCTGTAAGTGGGATGTTAAAGTCCCCTACTGTTATGGTATTATTATCAATGAGTTTCTTTCTGTTTGCGCTAATTAATTTATATATTTGGGTGTTCCAAGTTGGGGTCATATATATTAATTTTTTTTTCAACGTTTATTTATTTTTGGGACAGAGAGAGACAGAGCGTGAACGGGGGAGGGGCAGAGAGAGAGGGAGACACAGAATCTGAAACAGGCTCCAGGCTCTGAGCCATCAGCCCAGAGCCTGACGCGGGGCTCGAACTCATGGACCGCGAGATCGTGACCTGGCTGAAGTTGGACGCCCAACCGACTGCGCCACCCAGGCGCCCCGGGGTCATATATATTTACAATTGTTAGATCTTCTTGGTGGATAGACCCCTTAATTATGACATAATACACTTCATCTCTTCTTACAGGCTTTGTTTTAATATCTAGTTTGTCTGATGAAATATGGCTACTCTGGCTTTCCTTTGAAATCCATTATATTATACGTGAATTTTCAATTTTAATTTAATTCTTTAAAAAAATTTTTATTTATTTATTTTTTTAAATGTTTATTTATTTTTGAGACAGAGAGAGACAGAGCATGCACTGAGCATGGGAGGGGCAGAGAGAGAGGGAGACACAGAATCGGAAGCAGGCTCCAGGCTCTGAGCTGCCAGCACAGTCTGATATGGGGCTCAAACCCATGAATCATAAGATCATGACCTGAACCAAAGTTGGACTCCTAACTGACTGAGCAACCCAGGGATCCCATGAAATTTCTATTCTTGTGGTCCTAAAAGTGCTATAACTATTCCATGAATAATTACTGATATTTTCTTCACTTCTGAA